CGAGAGCTGTGGGTTGCTTAGGCAGAGGGATTAGGCGACATGTCTTTGAGAATCGATCAATAACTGTGAGGATAGTGGTATAGCCCCCGGACAAGGGTAGATCTGTGATAAAGTCTATGGCTATATGTGACCAGGGGCGTTGTGGAATGGGTAGAGCTTGTAAGAGGCCAGCAGGTAGTTGGTGAGAGGGTTTGGTTACATTACATGTGGAACAGTCCCGGATGTATGCTATCGTGTTTGCCTGCAAAGTGTACCACCAGAAGCGATTGGTGAGTAGCTGTACAGTAGCAGCGATACCTGGATGACCAGAACTGGGAGTTGAGTGAACCCATTGAATTACTCTGTGACGTAGAGTAAGTGTGATTTTGGTGGACTTTCGGCTGGTGGTGGATCGGTGACTTGGGCCTCTGTGATTTCAGTCATGATATCCCATTGTATGGGAGCGAGAACCAGGGTAGAAGGGATGATGGATTCACAGGAGGGTGGTTGTAAGGATGACTCATAAAGTCTTGACAGAGCGTCCGCTTTTGTGTTCTGCATGCCTGGGCGTCACAGTGAAATAAAATAGTGTAAAAAATAAAGACCATCTTGCCTGCCTGTGATTGAGTCTCTTGGCAGATCTCAAGTATTCAAGGTTGCGATGATCAGTCAGCACTGTAAATGGGTGTTTAGCTCCCTCGAGCCAATGGCGCCACTCCTCAAAAGCTGCCTTCATAGCAAGGAGTTCTCGATTGCCTACATCATAGTTCTGCTCTGTGGGGCTGAGTTTGCGAGAGAAGAATGCACAAGGAAACAATTTGGAAGGATTACCATGTCGCTGAGAGAGAATAGCACCGATGCCAGTGCTGGAAGCATCCACCTCCACAATGAACTCCTGTTCAGGGTCGGGATGATGCAGGATAGGAGTGGTGGTGAATCTCTCCTTAAGTTCTTGAAATGCGGAGATGGCGGCTGGTGTCCAGACGAGACATTGTCTCCCCTTCTTGATCATAGATGTCATGGGTGCTGCAATTGTGCTGAAACTGCGACTGAATCGTCGATAGAAATTAGCAAATCCCAGAAAGCGTTGCAACTCCTTTAAAGTGGCAGGCTGAGGCCATTTAACAACGGATTGCACCTTTTTGTCATCCATGGCTACCCCTCCCGAGCTGATCACATACCCGAGGAATGATACAGTGTTCTGGTGAAATTCACACTTTTCAGTCTTGGCATACAGTTGATGGGTAATGAGACGCTGGAGAACAGAACGAACATGCTTGACATGATCCTCGTAGGAGTCCGAGTAGATCAAGATATCATCTATATATACGATGACCCAACGATTTAGCATGTCTCGGAACACATCATTGATGAATGCTTGAAATACAGAAGGACTGTTGGACAGCCCGAACGGCATAACAAGATATTCGTAGTGCCCAGATGTAGTGGAGAAGGCCGTCTTCCATTCATCACCCTCCCAGACATGGATGAGATTGTAAGCACTGCGAAGGTCAAGCTTGGTGAAATACTTGGCCGTCCGCAGTTGTTCCAAGGCTGCTGGGACTAGTGGTAGGGGGTAACGGAACGTGATAGTGATTTAGTTGAGACCACGGTAGTCAATGCACTGACGAAGTCCTCCATATTTCTTTAATGAAGAAGAATCCGGCTGAAGCAGGTGAGGTGGATGGTCGAATGAAGCCCTTAGTTAATTCCTCCTCGATATATGATTTCATGGCTTCAGACTCGAGTTGTGACAGGGGAAAAACTCGGCCTTTGGGGGGGATGTGAACCAGATAGAAGGTCGATAGCACAGTCACTTGGACGATGGGGAGGTAGTTGTGATGCTTTAGTTTTGCTGAAAGCCTCGATTAAATCGTGGTACTCCACAGGGATTTTGGGTGCAGTGATCGGCTCAATCTCTGTCTTGTGGGGAGTCAGGTTCAGACAATGTTGGCGGCAGGATTCAGACCACTGGGTTATCCGTTTCTTGGACCAGGAAATACACGGGTTATGCTTCTCGAGGGATAATGGGCGTTTGAGGGGATTGAAAAACAAATAAACGGATAGTCTCAGTGTGGAGGGCTCCTGTGCGCAGTGATAAATCCTCTGTGATGAACTGAATCCGGCCGGAGCCCAAAGGACGTCTGTCTAATGCTGCCACTGCCAAACGAGATTCACATGAAACAAGGGGAATATTATGAGTCTTGGAGAATTACGAATCAATGAAATTTCCTGCTGCCCCAGAATCTATCAGAGCTGTGGTGTCAATAAGCTCCCCATTAACCCTTAAAGTAACTGGTATTTGTAATACGGTAACTAGACTGGAAGTCTGACTCACCACAGAAGAGTTACGAGATAGTCGAGTGGGGCAGGAAGCTCTCATATGTCCAGAGAGACCGCAGTATAGACATAGGTTCTAGCGAACACGTCTCTCGCTCTCCTCCACGCTGAGATGAGTATAGCCGATCTGCATTGCTTCAGTCTCATGTGGTAGGGGTGTCATAACCGAGGGAGCTCAAGAGAGACGAGGTTGTCGTCGAGAGCGGATGAGATTATCGATGCGAATCGCCAGATCAATTAATTGTTCCAGAGATTTACCCTCATCACGGCAGGCCAATTCAGACTGCAGGTCAGCGTTGAGACCCTTGCGGAAGAGGAGTTTGAGAGGATCATCCAACCACCCTGTCTGAGCAACGAGCGTGCGGAAGGATAGTGCGTAGTCAGCCGCTGAACTTCTTCCTTGACGGAGAGATAATAACTGCTCGCCCACCTCCTTGCCACCATCGGGGTGCTCGAAAACCTCCCTGAAGCGCTGAATGAAACTGGTAAATGAGGGGAAAATGGTGCGGTCCTCACTCCATACCGCAGTGGCCCATTCCAGCGCTCTTCCAGTTAGGAGCGAACAAACAAAGGCAATGCGACTACTGTCCGTGGGGTATAGCATGGGCTGTTGGTTAACGAACATAGAACATTGAAGCAAAAAAGCCCTTACACCTCGTGGGTGATCCATCAAACTTTTCTGGAAATGCCAAGCGAGGGCTGGCAGTGACGGAAGCAGTTGCCGGATCGTGAAGAGGTGGATTAAGCGGGGGAGTGCTCTCCTCGGGTGGTGGTATCCGAAGAGCTCGCAGAGTCGTTACCAGCTCCTCTGTGAGTGAGGTAAGTCGGTTAAGCTGTTGTTGATGAGAAGCCAGTACTGACGCTTGAGCGGTTACTTCCATGGTGAAGTGATAGAAAGCTGCTGGATCGACTTGTGGCGAAGTCTTCTGTAATGATGATTCAGTGAGGTTGGGATCCATGTGCAGCTTTATTAACAAACAGTACAAGTCAGACAGGCAAAGTAAATCAACAGTATTCAAGGGCAACGTAGGCAAGGCAGAATCATAACCTGAGTCTATGCAAACGGTCGAGGCAGGCGGCATGTCAGCAGTAGCAAAAACAAGACTTCGCACAGAGGTTATGGTAGGCACTGATTAAATAGTCAGGATAATGATCAGCACCTGTGCAGGTAATCAGTCTCAGGTACGGGGTGATGAGAAATGAAGTCCGCAAGAACAGTTAGTACTCCGGTGACGGTTCCCTCTGGTGGTGATCGGAGGGTGCCACAGAGGCTTGATTCGTGACAATAGGACTATAATCTAGCATTCATAAAATGAAATAATTAAGTTTAAGTATGTCATTTTCCACTGTATGCACAAAATTGAAATGAAAGGTATGGTAATACTAATTAGACTAACTAGCTAGCTAGCTGGCTAACATCTACAAATAAATTACAAAATGTAGTCTTTATTTTGTTGCCTTTGTTGTTTGTTAGACTATTTCAGGCATTTCATATTGCTCATATTTCTCTTTGTTGTAATAAGTACTTGTCACTGAAGGCATAGTTGTGGACCGGACAGCACTTTAAATCTGCCGAGCTTCCAGCTGTTCAGAGCGGACTGCGAAACAGAATCAACTGGGAAATCGCGTGGCGTTGGGACATGCATTTACATCAATGAGAGGTGGTGTACTGATGTAACAGTGTTAAAGAAGATGTGCTGTTCCAATCTAGAAGCGCTCTTCATTAACTGTAAACCATTCTATTCGCCGCGGGAGTTTCACTCGTTCATTCTCGTGAGTGTTTACATTCCACCGCAAGCGCATGTGAGCTTGACTTTACAGAAACTCGCTGATCAGATCACAGAGACAGAGCAACAACACCCGGACTCTGTTTTAATCATACTCGGGGACTTTAATAAAGCAAAGCTCTCTCGTGAACTGCCAAAATACAGACAGCACGTTACATGTCCCACCAGAGACAGTAATATATTGGATCACTGTTACACCACAATAACGGATGCATATCACAGCTTTGGGGCTCTCTGATTACTATTTGGTTCATTTTATACCAACCTACAGGCAGAAACTAAAATCAGCTAAACCTGTATTAAGGACTGTTAAAAGATGAACTAATGAAGCAGAGCGGGATTTACAAGCCTGTTTCGACCTCACTGATTGGAGTGTTTTTGAAGTTGCTGCCAACGATCTGGACAAGCTCACTGAGACTGTACCTTCATATATCAGTTTCTGTGAGGATATATGCATCCCTACCAGGACTCATCTAACATTTAACAATGATTACCCATGGTTTACAGCAAAACTCAGACATCTTCATCAGGCCAAAGAGGATGCCTACAGAAATGGAGACAGGGTCTTGTACAATCAGGCCAGGAACACACTGAATAAGGAGATTAGAAGAGGAGCTACGCTAAAAAGTTGGAAGATCAGTTCACTTCCAGTGACCCAGCTTCAATGTGGAAAGGTCTGAAAGCCATCACCAACTACAAGACACCATCCCCCAGCACTGAGGCAAATCAACAACTTGCTGAAGATCTGAATGAGTTTTATTGTAGATTCGAAACGCCCCACACCCATTCTGACCATCTCTTTACACAACCGTTAACACCTCCAGCAATCCCCCTCTCCCCCCCTCCTGTACTTCAGGTCAGTGAAGATGATGTGTGCCAGGTCTTCAGAAAGAACAAAAGAAGAAAGACACCAGGCCCAGACGGTGTGACACCAGCATGTCTGAAAACTTGTGCTGACCAGCTGGCCCCCATCTTCTCACAGATCTTCAACAGATCACTGGAGCTGTGTGAATTCCCTGCCTGCTTAAAATGCTCCACTATCATCCCCATCCCAAAGAAAGCCAAGATAACAGGACTTAACGACTACAGACCAGTGGCTCTAATGTCTGTGGTCATGAAGTTATTTGAGAAACTGGTTCTGGCTTATCTGAAGGACATCACTGGACCCTTACTGGACCCCCTGGAGTTTGCTTACCGGGCAAACAGGTCTGTGGATGATGCAGTCAACATGGGACTGCACTTCATCCTTCAGCATCTGGATAAATCAGGGACTTATGTGAGGATCCTGTTTGTGGACTTCACTTCGGCCTTCAACACCATCATCCCAACAGTCCTCCAGACCAAACTAACCCAGCTCTCTGTCCCTAGCTCTATCTGTCAGTGGATCACCAGCTTTCTGACAGATAGGCAGCAGCTAGTGAGACTGGGGAAATTCATGTCAAACAGCCGCTCCACCAACACTTGTGCCCCTCAAGGTTGCATCCTCTCCCCACTGCTCTTCTCCCTGTACACCAACGACTGCACATCTAAAGACCCCTGTGTCAAGCTCCTGAAGTTTGCAGATGGTATCACACTTATCGGCTTCATACAGGATGGTGATGAGTCTACTTACAGACAAGAGGTTGAGCAGCTGGCTGTCTGGTGCAGTTTTAACAACCTGGAGCTGAACACGCTCAAAACAGTGGAGATGATCATGGACTTCAGGAGAAACACCCCTGCACTCCCCCCACTCACCATCATGAACAGCACTGTAAAAACAGTGGAGTCATTCAGATTCCTGGGAACAACCATATCTCAGGACCTGAAGTGGGACACTCACATCGGCCAAACAAAGGTTGTACTTCCTTCATCAGCTGAGGAAATTCAACCTGCCACAGCAGCTGCTGAAACAGTTCTACTCAGCCATCATCGAGTCTGTTCTTTGCACATCAATAACTGTCTGGTTTGGTTCAGCTGCAAAATCAGACACCAGAAGACTACAGAGAACGGTTCGGACTGCCGAGAGGATTATTGGGGCTCCCCTCCCCACCCTTCAAGAGCTGTATACATCCAGAGTGAGGAAAAGAGCTCAGAAAATCACTCTGGATCCCTCAGATCCAAGCCATCCCCTTTTTGAACTTTTGCCATCTGGCCGGCGCTTCAGAGCCACAAATACCAGGACAGCCAGGCACAAAAACAATTTTCCCCCCCCAGGCAGTCTACCTTATGAACAGTTAAATGTTCTCCCCATTGTGCAAGAAAGATATGTGCAATAACCTTATATTTATTTATTACCACCTACATCCTAGTACATCCCTGCATCTCACTCTATTCTATTCTTATTCTATCATCTATAGCACAACTGTACATACAATTTATTTTATTTTTCCTTTTTCCAATTTATTGTCTCTATTTTTTGTCTATTTATATTTACATATGTGTGTATTTTTATTCTCATCTTATTTTTATTGTCTGTGTGTTGTCTCTGTGTACTGGAAGCTTGAGACACTGAAACAAATTCCTTGTATGCACAAGCATACTTGGCAATAAAGCTCTTTCTGATTCTGATTCTGATTATATTTTGAGAAATATTGAAAACAAGTGAATTCTGTACTTCGGTTGTGGGCGGTGTCCTTTCAAAATCTGATAAACATTGCTCTTCACCAGGTGTGACCATTTGGGCGCAAGAACAGCTTCTACAGATGCTTCTCATCCCCCATACACAGATGTAATCTGTTGGAATAAATGTTTATGGACATTTTGTTCTGGTAGTATTTAAGGGAAAGTTGCAAATCAGTCATTGGGATTCTGTAGTCAGAAAACCCCCGCAGCTTACGTGAATCTGGAGCTCTGCACTAGAGCTCACATACTGCTGTGTGTCTCTCTGCTGTCTGGTATACATTTCGTTTTCATTCAAAAATGTAATTGTGTTAAACACATTGTGCTCATAGAACACATAGTGTAGTTGTTTGTGCTACTACAAGTGCACATAGGCTAGTTAAGTTTATTCTTTAAAACACATGATTACTTTGCTGTAATTGTTCTTTGAAATGCTTAGGTAAAAGGTTGTAGATGCTATGCATTCTAGACCATGAGCCTTGTGTTAAAATTAGGATAACTGTTACATGTGTGACTATGTTAAATGTGTTTGTCTCCTACGTGGAACACTTGGCTATTCCCCATATAACTACAGTATCTATGTACAGGAGCATGGTTGCCACGCGGCTACAATGTGATTCAAAATCGCATTATCCTTTCTAAAAGGCTTCTAATTGTTTCATTATTGGCATTATATAATTTTACCTGACTAATAATAAATTGTTATATTTTATTTATTCTGATCTCTTCTGAAATCATGATTATTTTAGTAGATTATAGCGTAGTCTGGTGTTTCCGCAAATCTGCGTCCAGGATAGATCATACTAAAGTACCAATGAATGATGCGGGGGCTCATCATTAGGGATCTTCTGATTTCTGTCTGTCACTGGCTTAACAAGTTACAGTTTTCAGGATTATAGGAAAAAATACACTTTATGTTATTTGCTAGCAGGTTGCAGCATATTTAAATGTAAATCTCTCCTGACCACCACAGAGTCAGAATAACATCTTTTTGGAGTTCATCACTCTTCAAACCCAGAAGAACGTGATCGTGACTCCTACACCACCGAACCTCCAAACCATCAAGACTTCCATCTGAGACTGCATCCGGACGCTCATTCAAGGCCCAGGCAATGCAAGTATTGTACATTTAACTAAACAAAACAGAGGTTTAGGATAAGCTGTAGACCCCGTTATAAAACGGTGCTGATGGTTTCACTCAGGTGGTTAACTGACTCATTTTCCATAACTGCATTCTTTGGTTTCTCTAACGGTTTCAGTCATCCACTTCCAAGCTCCCCATGAATGAGTGATTTGTATGTTTGTTTGTTTGTGTAGATTAGCTGTGTGTTAGTATTTAGTTAATAAAACTTGTGCACAAATTACATGAGTTTCTGGTTCTGTCACCACTTGTATAGTGTCTCTTTCACGATCCGATCTATATCTACATGCTCTAATGCATTTCTATAAGAAAGTTATTTTCTGTGGCCACGAAAATATCTTATAGTTGATATGAAATTATACTGAATGTTCGCTAGATGAACAGATTAGTTGATAGTAATATTAATTCTGCTACAGTTACTACTGGCAGCTGAGGTAAATAACTAAATAATTATAGTTAATTGTAATTATTTATATACATTTCCCTTTTGAGCTAATTTGCTACAGTGGTCAACTTGAAATTGGAGTCAGACTGAACACGGAGCTAGACTAAAATTGAAACTAAATCCTGATAAATTGTAACGATCAATCCACTCAAGGCGAGCGTAGTGAATAACCCAAGTGCAGTTTATTTACAGTGTGATCCAAACATCCAAACAATAATCCGAGACTTGACTTGACATGAACAGACTAGACTCACCGACAGCAGGTTACAACATCAAGACACGACGAAGACTATGGGAACATGATGGCTACTTATATCAGACAATGAGGGTCACATGACAAGAGAGAGTTCATGAACGGCCTCCATGGCTGTGACAGGACATACAGTGAGTTCAAGAACAGCCTCCATGGCTGTGACAGGACAGTCAGTGAGTTCGTGAACGGCCTCCTTGGCCGTAGCAGGACAGGCAGTGAGTTCATGAACGGCCTCCATCTCTAGGATGGTTGGGCTTGAGAGCGCTGACATCACCGAGATGCCTGCAGCTCTCACCAACATCAGTGGTAAGTCCATCACGCTAGCTATCAGTCTTTTCAGTCTTGGCCCAAGCTCCCAAACATCCAAACAATAATCTGAGACTTGACTTGACATGAATAGACTTGACTTAACTTGACGAGGCATGAAACAGACTTGACATGAACAGACTAGACTCACCAACAGCAGGTTACAACATCAATACACGACGAAGACTATGGGAACATGATGGTTACTTATATCAGACAATGAGGGTCAGATGACAAGAAGAAACCAATGGGAAACAAGACACATGACTAAGACTACCAATCAGAACATGACACATACACAAGGCAGAGATACATGAGGGCAAGGGAAGCATGACACTAACAGGGTGAAACAATTACAAAATAAAAGACATGGAAAACATGAACATGAAACAAAACCCAAACACCAAACCCCACATTACATAAATTCAGAGGTGCAAGTAAAAGACCGAACACGCATTAAACCTTCAGCAAGGCCACTGGTTTCCGCTTTTTGGGCCGGCAGGTGGATTCTTAGAGTGGTTACAGAAAATGTTATTTTTTCCTTGCTTCTAGAAAATTCTCAATCTTTCTGCTTTCTAGCTTCATGTGGCTGTAAATATTTAATTTTAGCGTGGCTAAAGCACTATGCATCATTAAAGTTTCACTTTCAGCGTGACCACATAAAGCCGGTAAATGTGGTGTTTACATGGAATAATCGTAATATGAGTTTAACTTATGGTATGAACCCAGAGTCTCCGCTGGGTTACATTAGCATGAAAGTGATAAAACGATCATCTTCCATCTGAATACTTGTGGTTGCATTTCGGGGCTAAGCAAAAAACATTGTCTAACAACAATATACAATGCTGAAAACTATTAATTGGTTATTCTATAATTAATTGTAGGGTACAACGGGGCTAAAGGCCCACCTTAAGAAAAAATGTGCCATTCACTGCGCCTAAAATGTATAATTGCAGAAAAAATATATACATTGTATTGAACATTAATGGAGCAACAGATTTTGTGTGAAAATAAATCATTCAAGTTGTTTATTTTGTTTAAAAATCGTATAAATGTATGAGGTGGCAAGAGGGGCCTTTTACCCCACACACGCTCACCAGCATGGGGTAAAAGGCACACGGTATTGATACAAATACTTCAGCTTAAATAATGTTTTTTTAAATAATGTCTAAGTTAATACTTGTTCAAAACAATCACTTTAGCAAAGTTTGTACTATTTTCTGCTTATTTTGAAAAATAAATGTTTTTTTTTCAATAAATATACTGTCATTAAAATATGTTAATTAAATATGATGATTTCATTCTAAACATAGTGATTATCTCTAATATGCACACCCAACATAATATATGATATTTACCATCTGAATCTAGCATGTCATGTCAACAAATGGAAAAGTCAGCCATCAATTAATTATCATGTTAATTACTGTACGCCTTTAGCCCCAACAGCAGGGGTGCTTTTTACCCCAAATACCATAATTTTACATATTCTTTCGTTATTTAAAAACTGTTGCTTTAATTATCTTAAACAAAACTGAAAATCATAAAGAAGACCTTTGTCTCAAAATATATGCATTAATTTTAGCGATTCTCATTTGGTACTTAAATCTACAACATTAAAAAAAAACATAAAATATTAGATCAAGTAAGCACAAAATCAACTTTGCACTGTTGCGCCAGATTGCATCAAGGATCAGTCAAAAATACATGTGCATCTTGAAAAGCGGATGTTTTGGAAATTGCTACGCCACGTTTTTGTGCCATCTAGTGGTTTAGATGAAAACAATATCAAAGGTGCCGTTTACCGCTTTACTTTTTGCCTTTAGCCCCGTTGTACCCTAGTACAAATTAGTAAATACTACAACTGGACAATACTATAAATTGATAAACTGTTCGGCGTGATGTTTATTGTCTCCAACAATGCCTGTAATCCCATTTAGCAACTTGGTAGGAACCGTCTTTTTCAAGAAACATAACAGTTTAAAAAAATCATGAGTGGGGTGTAACTGGTGTGTTTTATATTGTAGAATAAAACTTGAAAGCACCTTGAGCTTGTGTTACCTTATTTTAGTGGATTTAACCAAAATCCCATTCAAAAAACCCATTGACTTTGGGACAATAGAACCAGAAATGCTAAAATGCTAACTCCTGAGTGCTGTACAGTGCTGTTAATGCTGTACAGTTGCTTTGACACAATCTGTATTGTTAAAAGCGCTATATAAATAAAGATGACTTGACTCGACTTGACTCACTTCCGGGATTTTGCTTACAAAGTGACATCATAGTTTCACCACTCTATTCATATACTTAATCTCTCTCTCTCTCTCTCTCTCTCTGAACAGAAGTTGGTCAAGCGGATGCGAGACTGGGAGTGTGGTTTGGTGTGGTTTTGGTTTCTTTTTTCTCTCTATTTTCTTTCTATTTTTTATTTTATTTAAGACAATTTATTCTTAGTGGTATAGTTTAAGTGGTTTATTTTTTGTTGGTGGCGGCAACAACCAGTGTAACCGGGAGTCATGCCGGATCGCGGATTTGGAGTGTGGTGCTGGAAATGCTCACACGACGACATGCGTTTAAACTTTGTCTGACTATATATAGACTGTTCTGTGGAAGATTGTGTTTTGGCAGTCGGAGAGATTGGTGGTTTCGATAGCATTAAATCCGCATCTAGAATGAAGAATGGAGTTGTGATTTTTGTGGATAGTTTTGATAAAGTTGCAATAATTGTTGAACAAGGTGTAATAATCAGAGATATCTTTGTTCAAGCGGTGCCGCTCGTCAATCTGACAAAAAAGATCATTTTGTCGCAAGTCCCTCCATTCATTAGCAATGAAATGTTAGAGAGGGAACTTTCGAGACATGGGCAGTTAATGTCGCCGATTAGATAAATTTCTCTCAGCTGTAAATCTCCGCAATTGAGACATGTTGTTTCTTTTAGAAGGCAAGTCTTTAAAGAACAACAATGAAGAGTTAAACTTAGTGTTCAAGTTCAGAGTGGATGATTATGACAACAATGCTTATGTAAGCTCAGAAGAAATTAAATGTTTTGGATGTGGAACAGAGGGTCACCTCATATGTTTCTGCCCAGAAAAGTCACTACTGAGAGTAATAATAAGAACATAGCACAGGTTGAGTCAAGTAAATCTCAGAGACAAAAGCAAAACAAATAAAATGAATTTCAGCTACAAAAATTGGATAAAACAAATCTCATGAGCAAAAACAAACTGAACTAAATGAATCTCAGGGACTACAACAGAGTGAATCAATTGAAATTCAGGGACAAAAATTGGACGAATCAAATAAATCTCAAGGACAAAAACAGAAGGAAAAAAATGATCCTCAGGGACAAAAACAGAATGAACTAAATGAATCTCACGGCCTAAAACAGAGTGAATCAAATGAAACTCAGGGACAAAAATTGGACGAATCAAATAAATATCAAGGACAAAAACAGAAGGAAAAAAAAATGATCCTCAGGGACAAAAACAGAATGAACTAAATGAATCTCACGGCCTAAAACAGAGTGAATCAAATGAAACTCAGGGACAAAACTTGGACGAATCAAATAAATCTCAAGGACAAAAACAGAAGGAAAAAAAATGATCCTCAAGGACAAAAACAGAATGAACTAAATGAATCTCAAGAACAAAAACAAAATGAGTCAAATGAATGAACAGAATGAATTAAAATCTGTTGTTAGAGAAGTTTTTGTTGAGAACAGTCCTCAGTGTGATATTGATATCGAAATGGAGGCCAGTACTAGCACTCAGAAGGAAGTGGATGAGGTAGGATGTTCTTTGGATGAAGAAAGTAAGATGTTTGTAGATGACAACTCTATCAAAGATAAGGATAGGAAAAGAAAAAAAATAGAGATGGTTGTCAATTTTCTGTCAAAATGAAAACGTTTCCACTTCATGAGTGTTCTCAGACTTTTGACAGTGATGTTGAGGTGGACTCTGATGAAGATTCTTTAGCTTCATCGCAGTCTTTGCCCCCCCCCCAAAAAAAAGAGTCTACTTTATGTTGAGCATTAAGAATTTTCTTAAGAATACTAAAGGAGCTTGGAATCTGAAAATTGAGAAAGTGTTTCCTGATTTACAACTCTTCATTGATTCTGTAAGGAATTATTCTGAAAAACTAAGGACTCAGTTCACTTCCATCGACATCGCATCAGTGTGGAAAGTCTGAAAGAGATCACCAACTACAAGACACCATCCCCCAGCACTGTGGAGAATCAACAACTGGCAGACGATCTGAATGAGTTCTACTGCAGGTTTGAAAAAACAACCCACACCCGCCCTGAACACCTCTCCACACAACCATTAACACCTCCTGCAACCGTCTGTGGACGACGCAGTCAACATGTGACTGAGTTATGTTTTGCAACATCTAGACAGACCAGGGACTTATGTGAGGATCCTGGTTGTGGACTTCAGCTCGGCCTTTAACACTATCATATCAAACCTCCTGCCCAAACTAACTCAGCTCTCCGTGCCCACCTCAATCTGTCAGTGGATCAACAGCTTCCTGGCAGACAGGCAGCAGCTAGTGAGGCTGGGAAAACTCACATCCAGCACCCGTATAATCAGCACTGCAGCTCCTCAGGGTTGTGTTCTCTCTCCACTGCTCTCTCCTGAAGTTTGCAGACGACACCACACTCATCGGCCTCATTCAGGACAGTGACGAGTCTGCTTACAGGAAGGAGGTTAAAGAGCTGGCTGTCTGGTGCAGTCTCAATAATCTGGAGCTCAACACGCTCAAAACAGAGGAGATGATCGTGGACTTCAGGAGAAACCCCCCTGCTCTCCCCCCACTCACCATTATGGACAGCTCTGTAACGACAGTGGAGTCATTCAGGTTCCTGGGCACCACAATCTCTCAGGACCTAAAGTGGGACACTCACATTGACTCCAGTGTGAAAAAGGCCCACCAGAGGTTGTACTTCCTTCGCCAGCTGAGGAAGTTCAACCTGCCACAGGAGCTGGTGAAACAGTTCTACTCTGCTATCGTTGAATCCATCCTCTGCACTTCTATAACTGTCTGATTCAGCTCAGCTACCAAATCTGACCTCAGAAGACTACAGAGGGTAGTCCGTACTGCTGAGCGAATCATTGATACAACCCTGCCTTCTCTTCAAGAACAGTACTCATCCAGAGTGAGCAAAAGGGCTAGCAAAATCACTCTGGACCCCTCACATCCAGCACACTCCCTCTTTGAACTGTTGCCATCTGGTCGATGCTACAGAGCACTGCGCACCAGAATGGCCAGACATAGGAAAAGTTTCTTCCCTCAGGCAATCCATCTCATGAACACTTGACAATAACTGTGGAACACACACTATTTATACACTCATACACTTATTTATCTAACACACACACTTAGTCTACATCTCAAATGTGCACATAATATACCTGTACATACAAAACTGTCTATTGTAATATACCTGCACATACAATTGTCAATTTATATATTGTTATTCCTTATTTACTTCTTTTCTTTTCTTTTTTTTTTTTATTCTTCTTTTATTATCTGTGTTTTTGTTCAGTCGCTGTCATTCTGTTGCACTGCGGAAGCTTCTGTCATGAAAACAAATTCCTCGTATGTGAAAACATACCTGGCAATAAAGCTCATTCTGATTCTGATTCTGATCAAAAACTTTTTAATATCCAATGCCCCCAACATGTTGTTATATTCTACCAAACGGGTTCAGGATTTTACATCGGATGCGTGCCAGTGTGTCTCTGGCAAGGTAATGTGTTTTGAAGACCCCCCATACAACAGCTCGCGAGAGTGGTAAAGTTGAACGGATCGAGTTCGGTACAGTCTATGAACGCTTCTCGGTATTTCATGCATGCTTCGCGCAATAAGACAACATCGTTCACGCCATACGCGTACAACTCCTTCCTGAAATGAAGGGGTAGGGACCCACATAGTAATTTTCCCTCCTATTGAAATAATGGGGGAAGTAACCTTTTTTAGTCGTGGTCAGGTTTAGAGCGGCGGGCATCTTAGACAGAGCCATTGGGATCAAACTGTAACTGTCTATGTATCGCTGAGCAAAAGCTTCGTCGTACATGAAGATTAATTTACATCCTTGCATGATTATCATGCAACTTGTCGAAACAAGTCGGCGACATACAAAAGGACTACAAACAAGATGGATGACTCATACAAAAAAAGACTACAAACAACATGGCTGTATCATACAAAAAAAGACTACAAACAAGATGGTGGCATGAAAAAAAGACTACAAACAAGATGGTGACATACAAAAATTCTACAAATCAAAATGGCTACGAACAAAATGGCAGCCTCATACAAAAATTACTACAAAACAATGGTGACATACAAAAAAGACTACAAACAAGATGGTGTTATCACACAAATGACTACAAATAAAAATGGCGTCATCACACAAATTAACTACAAACAAAATGGCAGCATACAAAATGACTACACAACATAATGGTGGCAAACAAACAAGATGGTGGCAAACAAAAAAAGACTACAAACAAGATGGATGTATCATACAAAAAGACTACAAACAAGATGGTGGAATATTAAAAGACTACAAACAAGATGGTGACATGCAAAAAGACTACAAATAAAAATGGCTACAAACAAAATGGCTGCCTCATACAAAACGACTACAAAACATAATGGTGACATACAAAAAAGACTACAAATCAAAATGGCGTCATCACACAAATTACCTACAAACAAAATGGCAGCATACAAAATGACTACACAACATAGTGGTGGCATACAAACAAGACGGTAGCCTACAAAAAATACTACAAATCAAAATGGCTACAAACAAAATGGCTGCCTCATACAAAATGACTACAAAACATAACGGTGACATACAAAAAGGCTAAAAACAAAATGGTGTCATCACACAAATGACTACAAATCAAAATGGTGTCATCACACAAATTAACTACAAACAACATGGTAGCATACAAAATGACTACACAACATAATGGTGGCATACAAACAACATGGCATCATCACAGAAATGAACTACAAACAAAATGGATGCCTCATACAACATGACTACAAAATGGCAACAGAAGCATTCACAAAGCTGTTACGGTACAAACAGAGGTGTAAAATTACATCAGATATAGAAGAAGTTACAAAGTATTCAGATACAATCAAAGATAAAAAGCTGCAATGATGCAATCAAAGATATAAAGCATTCAAAGATGGTAAATCAGTCACAAAGCCGTAACGATACAATCAAAGATATATAGCATTCGAAGATGGAAATCAGTCACAAAGCTGTAACGGTACAATCAGAGATGTTAAATTACATCAGATATAGATGCTGTTGACAAAGTATTTGGACACAAACACATGCAAATATAGAGACTGTTACAAATTATTTGGATACATTCAAAGATAAAAAGCATTCAAATGATACTGGTTATAAAACTTTAAAAAAAAAATTTTTTTTAAATGTATTTATTTGATTATATATATATTTTTTATTTTTATTTTTATTATGCAAGTAAGGAATGTGACAATATTTACAAGTGCCAAATACAGAATCACTTGGACAAACGAACATATATCCAGATAGCTAACATTTCAAGATCATTCTGATAACTCCTGTATATGTATTCTTGTGAGTGTGAGCATGTGTGTGTGCATGTGTCATTGTATGTAAGTGTGTGGGAGGAAGCATACAAATCATTGAGTATCTAAAAGATTTATAACAGATATAACAAGTATAACTACAAAAAAATAAATAAATACATAAAATAAAATAAATAAAATAAAATAGAATAAAAATAAATAAATAAATAAATAATAATGACAAGACCAGTGGAGACAAAAAGTATTGTAAGCAATAATGATGACAAAGATAACTATAACAACAATAATAATAATAATAATAATAATAAGGATTTCATTAAGATTAGGAAAGGGTGGAGGACAGTGAAGGATGCAAGTAATAGTAATGACTGAACCCCCAACTGCTCCCCAGGCGCCGCAGCATAAATGGCTGATTTAATCAAAATTGTCTTTGTTAATAAAATATTGCTTTAACCCTTCGTCTTCTTTCGAGACATTTACATTATACTATCCTAGTTTATATCAGATATAAGATACAAGATTGATTCTTAATAATTCTCTTCCGTCTACTCTCGTACATTCTATTCAGCTACTAATTTTCTTTTTATTCAATTACGTGTACTACGTGTACTGCGTTAGACTAGGGGAGAGCGGGGCACAAAGTAACGCAAGGTTAGTTGTAACACACGTGGTTTGAATATTTCCACACATGATAGCATAACAAAATGTATCGTATTTACAAGTTGCCATATCAACACTATATAGAGAAAAAACTGCGCCAAAATTAAAAACTATTTTGAAGATATCACTGAACATTTATTTTCCCATAGTAAAAGTAAATTTCTGTCTTAAGTACATTTTTCATCTCAGTTTTTAGAATTCATTTAAAATGAGTCAAATATGGTATTATTTTAATCTCCAATCTGTTATTTATCAGTTTAGATAACTAGCAGAAGACACTAACCAATTTTAAATTCCAGTTGCACAGATGGGGCACGTTGTAACACTGCGTTACAATGTCGTATTCTATGACATTAGCAATGTAATTTACACTATTTACTTTAATGAATTTTAATGAGAAACCACAAAAAAACAGGCGACTAAAGACTGACAGTCAATGTTTAATGTTCAGAAATTATTATTTAAAGAAATGTAAAGCATTTTTGCTCATTTATGTGGGCCGTCCCAAGCATGGTTGCAGTGTGCTCATTGTCAAACTCCAAAATCAGATTATTTTTCATTCTTAAAAAACGCCATTATTTTATTTGAAAAAGTTAATAGTTTTATTTTGTTGACAAAATATTTTATTCTGTCTTGTATATTTTTTTCATTAGATCAGATAATATTTTAAGCTGTCATATGGCCATGTTACAATGTGCCCCTCAGATGTTACAATGTACCTCACCTACGGGGCATGTTGTCACATTTCACTTCAATTTTTTTGAGGGTAAATAAAGAAAAATGTATACACTGTAATTATGAAACAAAGCGACGTATTTGTAATAGACAAGTGTAAAATTGCTGTGGATAAAAAAAATTATACTCTGAACCCCATGTGGATTTACACAAACTGAGAAAGTCAAAAAGTGTAACTTTGTGCCCTGCTGTCCCCTAGTCTAACACAGTACACGTAGTACACATAATTGAATAAAAAGAAAACTAGTAGCTGAATAGAATGTACGAGAGTAGACGGAAGGGAATTATTAAGAAATGATCTTGTATCTTATATCTGATATAAACTAGGATAGTATATCGTAAATGTCTCGAAAGAAGACGAAGGGTTAAAGCAATATTTTATTAAATCAAGCAAATTCACAGAAATATTGCGTATATGGAAGAAGAGTCCTCTAACATGACAGTAAAACTAGGAAACAAACCGCAAGGCCTAACAATTACGATTAGATGGGAAAATACTACAAGAATGGCGAAAATGTGGTAAACCAATTCAAACAGAAAGAACTAACAAAATCATGTAAAATCAAGTGTAACACCATGAAAAATCTTTGCGGTTTATATCTCACAACGGTGTGACGAGGCCTAGCGCGGTAGCTCTTTTAAACACTAGGATAAAGTCAAGATATCTAGCAATTTTAGGTGTACTTACCAGGGATCAGTCTGGTGTGTACAAGAGTTAGAACAAGCATTTGTGTTTGTGTTGTTAGACCATATTGTTCTAATTGCCTATATAAAGATTTGTACGTTTATATTCATTTATGAACGCCGTTACAGAATTTCTCTTAGTGACATTCAATGGAATATTTTATTAAACGATAATGCTGAGGACTGTTTGAGTAACACTCTGTCAAGTTATCGCCCCACTACCGGAAACCTGTAACTTTATTATGATTATTTAAAAATACATATAAGCTTCACGCCTCACACTTTTGTAACTGACTATAAACTAATATTTAAGCTAAACAAACATTTACAATTGTGAAAAATTAAAAGAATTAAGAGATGTTGAAAACTGCTGCCCTAATGTTTTCTTAAAGCCAGACATGACAACGCTCAGTTACAGTCGTACCTGTTTCCTGGAACAAAACTAAAAGGCTGAGGCCTAAATCACAAAGACTGAATAAAACGGATTGAATCATCGCTTTCGCTTAAAACAACTGATTTATTAAAGTCGTGTTTAGAGATGAGTACAGAGAAAATAGCGTTTCCACACCATCTTCAACTTGTAATGTGTAACTTTATGCGTTCTAAATGAAATAGATGTACATGTAACAGAGAAATAGTAAGATTGAGACCTTGTGTCGCGTGGCCGCTTTGTAGACAGACCAGAAAATGCTCTGAAAGTACAATCTCGGTTTAAACACTCTCTCGACTTTCATTTAATTCTCGTATACTGTGTTTGTTCTCGTTTTTCGAGCGAACACTTGCCGCATGTTTGACCAAAATCTGAGAATAGTCTTCATCTAAAAAAACTGTACAAAAACAATTACAAAGGTGTACAGCTAGTGGGGCAGGCGATCAAATCAACATTAAAAACTCTAACAATATTTTAGAAGGGAGTATTTCAGTATCAGGTATTTGTTATACCGATACATATTTCCGTTGTGAAAACATATTTCCTGTATAGACGACTATGTCTATAACCTTTTCAAAGTGGGTGTATTATAATGTTATGGTTCTTAATTGTGATCGCATTACAACAAGTCGACATAGCCCCTCTAGCAAATCTGCCAAAAGTGGACAAAACAGAAGAAATGTAGCACTCGCTAGATGATTATAATTGTGACCTATGGGAAGTACACGCAGTCCTAGGCTTTAATGTCGAGCAGGAATGTTGAAAGAAACGAGTACGACAAATAAAATGCGAACATCGTCATCGGCTATCTGAACAAGAGCTCTAGATGTATCGGTGTAAGAAAAAAAAAAAGTAAAACAACGTTTACAAAAATATACCCAAATGATCACGAGTGGTTTTTCTGTATTCATATGATAATTTTCTTAGTGTTTTGGGTTCTTCTGTTACATAGGGATTTTGTTTGCACAAAAAATCCTTCATATTTTGTGTCTGTAGCCTTTTCAAGAGGGTGTACAACCTCAAACTTTACTGAATGTGTAGCTTTCAGAGCAATGGCTATATATGTTTCAGTTGTAAGTGTAAAACAGCAAGACTTACTTTTCGTGTTGACGGTTCATTGTATGGATATGGAAATGGATAATTGTCCTAAAAAGAAATACCGACTTAGTCAAACGCTCTCAAGTAGAAGTTTTCTTAATTTTCATTTATTTCTATAAACGCTGAATGCTGACCGCTCTTAGAGAGAAGGCCTCGCCTACAGTCATAGTAATGACATATACAGTCCAACAAACAAAATTTGAACAGCGTCATCCATAACCCTAACCCTAAGTAAAATGACAGTCACAGTAGATCGAGAGGAGGTTTTCTTTGTACTGTTAAGAAGCTTCATCTAGACCCCTGCATTATTTACACCCCGAAATAAGACCAGTTCCACTCGGATAATGAACACCTCGGGGACAAATCATTTGAAATGTAGGTTTGTCAAAAACAAAGAATAATATTTTATCTGGTTTAGTTGTATTTAAAAATAAATAAATAAAATTTTTCTTAAAAACATTGTGTCAAACTTATTTTGTAGCCTGATTCTCATCTCGTCGTGTATTGACCACATATTTATCAGACTTATAAAAGCAGTGTGAACCTTCGTAGAAGTATTAAAGTAAGTCTTATAAAACAAAGAAATCCGATTAATGACATTGTGTCAGAATTCAACTGTATGAAAATGCATTTGGTAACCTTTTATTCAAATTTTCAAGCTAGATTAAAAGAGTATAATACAAATTGCACAATACTTGATTTTGGGAAAAAGTTGGAAAACTATCTTGTAGTGTTTTCACCCATGGCCGGCGGTGCTGCCCTGAGCGGCTGACCTTCCTGAATGGTGTGTGTGTGTGTGGGTGGGTGTTGAGGAACTGTTTGGAGTTGGCATTCCCTATTTTTAAAAACGCTGCAACAACATGATTATTTTGTAATATATTGTTTTGGCCTTATATTTACTAGGAATTAATTGAATCTTTGTAAAAATAAGAAAAGTAAAGTCATACGTGAAACACGGTCCACCTTAAAATGTAACATATTTTCTACCGCAGGATATCAGGAGTCTGGTGTGGTGTGCGCTTTTTCATTTAGCTTGATCTGTGCTTTTTAAGAGCAATTAAATATTCTCAGGATAATGCGTGTCATGGTGACAAGGACGTTTTTGGAAAGTCTTTTCACATGTCTGTAGTTGACTTAAACTTTTTAAATGAACCGGAACGTTATGGGGGTTGGTGCCTACAAAAGTCATAAAATCTCTCTTCAAAGACCACCATACAAAGAGGGTACATCACATATTGTAACTTTCTACATATATTTTTCAGTAGATAACCAATAGTATATTGATAGTATATGATATTTATCATGCTGATAAAGGTCGGTTCAGAAAAATACGATCATATACAACTATATAAGTGTAGAACTAGATCATAGCTACATGCTCACCCTAGTAATCAATAAAGATATGGACAGTTTTTTATTTAGCCTTTTAAGCTGGAATATGCTTTGAAATAAGATAAATAAAATAAATATTTATTTCCATGGCATAAACAGCCCGCGTGATAATGATTTAAAATATGTGAAATAATTTATAAATATATGTAATTGTAAGGCAAAACATGTTTGAAATGTTATGTTTGTAAGGTGATGGTGGATAACTAGAATGTCAACCGTTAGTTCGAATTAACATAATTTAATTAAATTACATTATAACAATATTTTAAGTGTATTGTTTTATGCTACATTGTGTGTGTGTGTGTGTGTGTGTGTGTGTGTGAGATGGTATTAAAACTTTGAAAATTATGCTTAAAATAAGAAAACTTCAAAGAATCTAAAGTGTTTGATTCGTAATAAATCTAATATAAATTATAATTTTGTTGAAATTCACCGGACATCAGATGTAGTAGGGATGCTGTCAATAAACTTAAATAAATGATGAATACTTGATTAAATGTATGATTTGCTTCAGTAACATGTTACTATGATGTCATATATTTTATTATTTAAAATATAGATAAGGCTCTCTTTAGCGTGAAATGTTTATGTATGTGCGTGCTTGTTTATATGACTTATCAGGACACAAATTTGTATAATTACTCTGATATATCAACGTAAATTTGGTTTATGTTTGAGTTTGAGTTTTGAGTCCTCATAATTAAGATTGCTTACAAACAATATTAAATAAAAAATGTAAGTATGTGCAGAAATTTTTGTGTGATGGGTAGGTGTTTGTACAGTACAAAAGCATTACACCTATGGAGTGTCCCCAGAAAACAAAAACCAAGGCGTGTGTGTGTGTGTGTGTGTGTGAGTGTCAGCACGACCGCCTCAGACTGACATTTCACTTCTGTTAGTGAGAAGAGCTCAAAGCAGGATTTAATTTTCCAACTTATGTGCATTTTGTAAACATTTTACTCGAGGGTATGAACGTCATTGGCCCCAGAATAATGTAAAGAGTTTTTATTTTCAAATGAAACTATAGTAAATGTTTATTTTTTTTATAAAGTATGTTATGTATAATCACTGGTGCACTGGAGATGTTTTGACATGATTGTACATGTTAGTGTTTTTGCGAAAACGACGTTTATGCATAGTTAGTGAAAAACTAAAATTTTCGTTTAAAATGCTTGTTTAAAATTGTTTTATAAGTTCAATAAACATAAATAAATGTTGAATACATGATTAAAATGTATGATAAATGATTTGCTTTGCTTTAGTAAAATGTTTGCTACTACGATGTGTTTTATAAGTTCAATGAGCTTAAATAAATGTTGAATAGTTGTTTAAAATTAATGATTTGCTTTAGTAACATGCTGTCATATTCTTTAAAATGGGGGTACGTCTCTTTTAGCCTGTAATGTTTATGTATGTGTGTGTGTGTGTGTGCTTGTTTATATGATTTATCAGAGCACAAATTTGTATAATGACATGGGTATTACTCTGATATAACAACGTTCATTTGGTTTATGATGAAATTTCTAAGTTTTGAGTCCTCATAATTTAGGTTGCTTACAAACAATATTAAATTAAAAATGTAAGTATGTGCAGAAATTTTTGTGTGATGGGTAGGTGTTTGTACAGTACAAAATCATTACGCCTATGGAGTGTCCCCAGAAAACAAAAACCAAGGTGTGTGTTTGTGGAGACGCGCGTGTGTGTGTGTGCGTGTGTGTGTCTGTGAGAGAAAGAGAGAGAGAAATAGAAGGTGAGGGTAAGGGTTAGAACGAGAGACAGAGGAGCTTTTCCTACTTAAACTTCTGGTTGGTTATCATCGCTCGCAGAATAATGTAAAGCATTTTTATTGTCAACTGAAACTATAGTAAATGTTTATTTTTATAAAGTATGTTATATATAATCACATTTTATTTATTTAAATTAAGAGAATGATGTGTTTTATAAGTTCAATAAACTTAAATAAATGTTGAATACTTTTTAAATTGCATGATGAATGATTTGCTTTAGTTTAAACCATGCTGTCATATATAATTATTTATTTCCATATTCTTTAAAATAGAGATAAGTCTCTCTTTAGCTTGAAATGTTTATGTGTGTGCTTGTTTATATGATTTATCAGAACACAAATTTGTATACTGACATGGTTATTACACTGATATAACAATGCAAATGTGTTTATGAGGATATTTCTTGAGTCCTCATAATTCGGATCGCTTAAAAACAATATTTTATAAAAAATGTATGTATGCAGAATTTGTGTGATGGGTAGGTGTACAGTTTATACAGTAAAAATCATTATGTCTATGGAGTGTCATAATGAAATGTAGTAATACTCCAAATGATTGTCCCCATGAGCATAACAGCTTTTTTAAATTATAAATTATACTAAGTGATGTTTCTGAAAATATAAAAAATGTAGAAAGTTTACTGTGATGGTAGGTTTAGGGGATGATAGTGTATAAAATTAATGAATATAATGTAAATCTAAATATTAAAGTTTCTAAATATGATGTTTATCTGTTCAACTGTTTTGTAACAACTTGTTTTGTGAAAAGATATATAAAATAAACGTGAATTAAATTGAATTGAATTGTCTATGTAAAGTCTCCATAAACATGACCGGGGCCCCCAATAGCCCATATCGTTTGGCCTGTTAAATTATATATTTTGCCCGATCCTGGTAAAATGTACGACATTTTTATATTTTTAGCGATGACTAAAACTAGTGTAAATGTTTTGCTTTGTTTTATATCATGTGCGATCACATAATTAATTAATTTATTTTCATTTAAAAGAAGAGAATAAGACTCGGGACGATTGAATGTGTGTGTGAGAGGAAGAGAGTGAGAGAGAGAGAGAAAGAAGGTGAGGGTGAGGGGAGAAAGATTTCTTTTTTCAACTTAAACCTCTCATTTGAAGAATGCCGATGCTTGCCCAAGGAGGAAGACTTTCTCATGGAAAAATGTAAGAGGAATTTCATTATACATTACAGTGTGCGTGTGTGTGTGTGTGTGAGAGAGAGAGAGAGAGAGAGAGAGAGAGAGAGAGAGAGAGAATCTTTTTAAATAGTCAACATATTATATGTGTGTGGCACACATATTGTGATCTGTTTTCACAAACTGTTTAAAATCGTTTATTTATTACTGACCTTAAAACCGATATCTTTCTCACATCTCCCATAGAGAGAGAGAGAGCAAAAATGCCCTGACTTGGAATGCAACCGGACACGCGGACCCCAGATGAGGCAAACCCCCCGGATGTGGGAATGGACCATTAAAATCTACAAAAACATTCCTCAGGACTTCATTTATCTCCTGTCGTCCGCTGGACACATACATACATCTGAACAAACATCATATGTCTTCCCCCGGAGGTCATAGGTTGACGTCGGAATTTCACATATGCCGGTTTTCACATCTGGATAGGTCATGGGGTCAACACGACGTGGGTGGTCACTACGTGGGGGAGGGGCCGCGTGGGGGAGGGGAAAGTCAAAAGGTCAAAGCCATCAATCAAGTTGACATAAGCACCATCATTTTGCTACTTCTTCAATTCAATTAAATTCAAGTTTATTTGTACAGAATGACAGTGACAGAACAAAAAAACACAGATAATAACAAATAAAAAGAAATAAAAAATAAAAAATAGAACAAGTAAATAAGGAATAAAATATACAAATCGACAGTTGTATGTACAGGTATATTATGTGCAAATTGAAATGTAGACTGAGTATGTGTGTTAGATAAATAAGTGTATGAGTGAATAAATAGTGTGTGTTCCACAGTTATTGTCAAGTGTTCATGAGATGGATTGCCTGAGGGAAGAAAATGTTCCTGTGTCTGGCCGTTCTGGTGCTCTGTAGCGTCGACCAGATAGCAACAGTTCAAAGAGGGAGTGTGCTGGATGTGAGGGGTCCAGAGTGATTCTGCCAGCCCTTTTGCTCACTCTGGATGAGTACAGTTCTTGGAGAGAAGGGAGGGTTGTACCAATGATTCACTCAGCAGTCCAGGCTACCCTCTGTAGTCTTCTGAGGTCAGATTTGGTAGCTGAGCTGAACCAGACAGTTATAGAAGTGCAGAGGAACTATGTCCAACTGCTTTGAGCACGCGCATGACTTCCGGTGCATGAGGTGTGTACGCCCTCTGGCGTAGTTTACGTTAATGGGTGTGTTGTCGCAGGAGGAGCAAACGACAGGCACAGTTTATTAACAGAAAATAAACAAAGTATCCAGAAAAAAGGGAATCAAGTGTACAAAATAAACAGGTGATCTGGTGTCCTCGTCGTGTCCTCGTCGTTACTCTTTCAGTAATTTAGTGGGTACAGGATCTAACAGGCATGTTGTTGGTTTAGATGCAGTGATAAGTTTAACAAGTTTGTCAACTTGACAATCGGCATTCTGTGTTTTGGCGTTTGCTTGTACGGTGGCTCTGAATTGTCAAAACACCTCTCAAAATGCTTGCTATGGATGCGAAAAATGCAGAAGATCAAACCCGATCTGATTTTTTTTATGATGGGCGAAAGTTTCGGAGGTAGTGTGTGAATGTGATTGACACAACGTGAGGCTTGTATTTATTTTTCAACGTGCGAAAATTTCGGACTCAGTGGG